ATTATACTTTGCTTGTCTCTCCAGTTTTGCCACATACTGAGATCCACAATAGAAATCCAAAACCCGTTCATTTTCACCTCCAAAAATCATTACCCTAAAAGTATAAGGAATCTTGCTAGAATGACCAATGGACAATAAGAAAATTGTTAGGGTTTTGGGTTTGAGAAACTGCACTAACCTTGCAAACCCTAGGATTTGATCTTCTTCGAGTGGAAGGAGATGGAATGGAGAGCTCGAAACCTCCCAATCGTTGCTGATGGCAGGAAGACGACGAAAAGAGTGGGGAGTTCAAGAAAGGGGTAGGGATGAAGGAAGGAGTGGGAACTACAGGTAGTGTAGGAAGGAGTGGGAACCACAGGTAGTGTAGGAAGAAGAGAGCGTGGGAAATGGGTTGTGAATGTGCCACCGAAAAGAGCCTGGGAAAAAGGCAAATAGAGAAATGAGGGAGGGGACAAGGAAAATGGGATAGAGTTTTGGCACTAAAAATAAAAATTTAATATTAAAAATTAAATAAATTGAGGGGGAAGTGAAAATTGGTCAATTGGGCTTTGGGCTTGTGGATTAGCTTCTTTGTGTGTGGTTGGCCTTTAACTTAAATAATGAGATCTGAAATGAAGAAAACGGAGTTATGAACTTACAAGAATTGAATATTGATAAATTTAAATATATATAAATTATTAAATGGTGTTGTTGTGCTCTGTATACAATTTAAGCGTATAATTTTTATAATTTTATAAATTATAAAACTTAAATTAATTACTTAAACCTAGCTTTCGTGTACCTTCATAAAACATTACTCATATATTTAAGATTTGATTACAAATCCTATTGGGTACAAGTACAATACTAAAATGTGTGCGCATTATATGTAACTGTCCAGCTCATCATTGAGTACTTTGTTTAATTAATAGGAGTTTGTAGCTTCTTAATTAAAAGTGTGAGTCCAGATCCCAAAACATAATCATGTTAAATGCCAATCTAACAGGATGAGTTCGCACAATAAGGAGCAAGGAGAAAAGGAAGGGCAGTATACGCTTTGAGCGCTAGATACGCTGGACTAATTTTTTTTAAAAAAAAGAAGAAGAAAGAAATTGAAATTATTTGATACTTTTCCGTTTAAAGAATGTCCATATCTTTTTTTTTAAATGATCTTGCTATGAGATTATTGTCATTTTGTGTAGTCCATATAAATAGAAAGTTATTAAATAATACTCCTCCGGTCCTAAATATAAGATATTTTTTATAGTGTAAATTACATTATAAAAAGAGTCTTATATTTAGAACAGAAGGAAGTAATAAATTATAGCAATAGGATTAAGTTGTTCGGAGCTCAATATTTCTTAAATAATATTGATTGTTCGAATCTTACGGAAGGAAAAAAAAAAATCACGGTAGGAGAGCTTGTTATTAATTCGTGCAATCCGCTGGGAACTCATAACGCAATCTGGTTAAAGGTACCTCATATTTTGTCATCATGTGAGGATAGGACAAATCTTAGCCGGGAAAATGACAACACATGCAGGCTTTACTACAAAAGACGTCAAACAGTCAATGTGGTTCAGGTCAGATATTTTTTGTTTAAGGTGAGTAACCCTCTCCATAGGGGTTTGTTTTGTTGAATACACGCAGGATGATGCCTGTGCCTGGGACAAGAATTGTTGACCTCGGAGATATCTTCTTACTGACGAATGGTACTCTATCACAACTTTGTCTTCTTAATTAAATCATTTCGGAATCTCTCCTCTCTTTTTTTCATCTTCTTTCCTCTCTTTTTTAAAACCGTTAGATTAACATATTTCAATGGTTTAGATTTTAATTTTTTATAAACTATTTATAAAGAAATTTTAAAATATTTAGTACACTTACAAATCATTAAAATTAAATTTTAATATAGTTTATAATTTATACTTTATTATTTTTATAATCTAATATTTTAATAATAATTTTAAAAATATTTAAATTTGAACCGTTAAAATATTAATCTAACGCTTAAAAAAAAAAAGTGAAAGAAAGAGGAGAGGTGCCAAACCGATGGGATCAATGTGGGCAAAACGCGTGTTATTAATTTTGTTGCATGATAAGCATCACGTCTCTCTACTCGATGCATGCCAAATCAGCGGGCAAACAAATATATTGAATCATTCGAGTAATCTTAGTCGTTCATTGACTATCGCGCCTTCATCTCATCCGCGAAGTCTGTTTGATTTTCCCGGTGCTGAATGGGTTGCATTATATATGAAGACATGTTTCAGTCCAAAAAAAGAAAATGTGAAGATATGTTAATGTACAGACAAGATTAATTAATTTCAATTTTGCGGCATGATAAGGTTTAGGTTTTCCATGGTCATATGATGATTTTAATATCTTCTGCCAAAAGAATTAACCACACCCGACGAGCCTGAAGATAGACCTTCTCCAGATTCTTTCCTGTCCTAGGTATAAAACCAACACCTCTCCGATAAGGTCACAAGCCCCAGAGTGCACAAAGTCGTTAGTGTTTCATCGTTTCCATTGGCCAAGCACCACCCCCCCCCCCCCCCAAAAAAAAAACCATGTTATCAGACTTGGCGCACGTACCTTTCCCTGATCCCCTCATCTCCTCAAAAAAGCGTTGACCCTTGGCTAATATCTCTTCCCTCTAATAAATGATTCGCCTATTTCAAAGCAGTCGTGTGGCCTTTTCTTTAACTTTTGTCAATTGATGAATTGACAATTCCCTCCACATGCATATCCACGCTTAAAGTGAAGAGAATGATAAATGTTTACCTTCTTCTTTGTTTAATTTAAAATTTTCTTGTTTTACTGGAGTGGCATAAATATGGTATTGCAAAGAAGCAGTTAGCTAATTATTTGATTGTCATTGGCCCTTTTACTCATGTATATGTACTACTTGCTATCTTTATAAGAACTAATTGATTAATTTGAGTAGATAAAATAAATTAGCTAAATTAGTTATTTGCAATAAATAGGAGTGGTGTTTTTTAAAATATTCTTACTAATCAAGTATATTGGTTAGAACTAGCATTATTACAAAAATTATCTTTAAAATAAATAAATAAATATAAGAGATAAAGTGGATTAGGGTTTTATATTTAGGACTAAAATAAAAGTCAAATGAGCTTTTATATTAACGATCAGAGGTAGTATTTGTCAATTTTGCCAACATTTAAATGTTATCTATAGTCACAGTACTAGTTTGCATGTAATTTTTGTATCCACAAAAAAAAAAGGTAGACATGTAATTTTCCAATTAATATGATTTTAGATTCATTCCCATTAATTATTTAAGTAATGATTTTTATGTGAGTAGTGACTTTGAGGACTTTTAAATAATGATTTATAAATTTAGTCCTTCAATATACAATTCTCCCCCATGTTTGGTAAATTTTCAGTTACAGAATTGTGCTAACTAAGCTCAGCCCCTTTTCTTCTGTTTGGATCCTTGTATATATTTAAAAAAAAAAAGAATTTTCAATTATAGAACTCAACATATAAACTCAAAATAAATAAAATTGCTGTGAAGGTTAACGGTGGATGTTTACTTTCACTCGTCTGGCTATTTAAAAAACTAATATTAGTGGTTAGAAAAATAAATATTAACCCTTAGCATTTTTTAACGGTCAAGGGCGACATTACTCCTTTTTCTATACTTGGACATGGCTCCTTTTTGAACACTTTCTGAATAATATTGATACAAAAAAACTTTCAAATACTTGTGACTCCTATCTGAAAAATTCCCGTGTGAAAGTAGACCTTAACCCTTAAATATCTAATATTGAAAATAGATCCCAAAAACTGACACTTCTTTAATATACATAAAGTAGGAGGCACCACCAAAATTTTTTTATAATTCATTCAATAATGTTATTTTTTTTGGCCAAAAATTCAATAATGTTATTCCAAGCTTCTTAAAATATAATTTATTAAAAAAGAGTATTAATTATATGAAATAATAATAAATCGCGTGCCATTGAAACTTTGCTCATTTAAAATAATTAAAATTTTTAATATGACTTAACTTCAACTTTGGTGAGATCTGTGTTATTTGGTGGTAAAACCACCCCTTCAAAAGACAGCTGCCATTGGCATTGTTACTAAAAATAGAGGTGAGTAAAACCGAACCGTAACAAAAAATCGAACCAAACCGAATTCAATTTTGGTTTTTGGGTTCGGTTATTTCGGTTTTTAGTTACATATTCAGTTTTTATTGTTTTAATGATTCGGTTTCGGTGTTTGGTTCAGTTAGTAGAAAAAAATTTCATTTATAACCGAAAAACTGAAATAAATATATTATATATTTATTTCAGTTTTTCCCAGTTGCATTAGTTCACTACTCGTGTATTTTGTAGCTTTGATTTAGGGTTAGTGTTTGTGATGATGGTGTTGTTGGGTCTAAATTTGCACTATTTAAGTTTTGGCTCTTTTTGTTTTGTCGGGTTTTTTTCCTTGACCTTTCTAATGTTGGTATTTAGTTTACTTTGATAAAATGCAATTGCTGGCCCAAAAAAAAAAGACAGGATAATATTTGTATTCATATATGATACTACTTCCAATCTTTAATATAAAAAATTATTTAATTTTTATTTTGATCTTAAATATAATATCTTAATCTATTTTATCTCTTATATTTGTTTAGTTTTTTTAAGATGGTCCTTGTAATAATGATACTTTAAGGAAGACAATACCTATTTATTACAAATAACTCACTTAACTAATTTTTTTAATCTACTCAAATTATTCAACTAATTTTTATATTAAAGACCGGAGATAGTAATTGACAATAAAGTTCACATTGGATTTTTTTTTCTGGGTAAAAATATTATATGGTTGGTATAAATATTGATGTTGGCAAAAAAAAAAAAAGAAATATTGATGTAATAATTTTGGGCTTACGGATCTTACCTACGGAAACCGAACAGGCCCATGTTTTCGACCAAACAAATGTACGCGTTGCTGAAAGTCCACCATCACAGAAGGCAGAAGCTCCATTCACGCTTGCTCTTGCTAGCTTCATTGGAAGCAAGCAATTGGTATGAAGCTAATTTTTTCTTGCGCTGCTAATTTTCAATGCGCCTAGGCTATGGTTTATCTTCTACTCCATTTTCTCGGCAACCAACAGAATCGCCGTGATGGGGCTAGAATTTTTGGTCATATTATCATTTCGATGGCTTCATTTTGATTGTATTAGTTTTCGTGCAGAAATCTAGGCAGCCTGGCGAAGTTTACTTTGTCATGAGCTGCTTGTCGCAACTATCATCGTACACTGCTGCTTTGATTACGAGGACCACTTACTTCGTTAGCACACGTTCTCTGTATGGATGTTCTGTCTTTTCATGGAAGAGGAAGTTAGAGTATCCTGCTATTAGGTCTGCCCATTTAGAATTTGTGCTTACAAGGTTTCGTGTTCAGTGCTATTCATCTAGAAAAGGCCGCAAATCTGCTTCTAAATTGCAGAAGCTAGAACCTGAACCAGTGATGGAGCAAGAAAAGGATGCTTTTTTTGTCGTACGTAAAGGGGATATCGTTGGTATCTACAACAGTCTCATTGAATGTCAGGCTCAAGTTGGATCTTCCGTAATTCTCTTGGCACCCAATTATCCACCGTTTACATCTATGATATGTTGTCAGCTAGGTTATGCATAGTTTCTCATGCATCTGTGACAGAATGTTCTATTAAGACTGTGGAATGACTTCTATTGTTTATCTCACGGTTACGCTTCTTTCAGACTTCAACTGAATGAGGCAATGAGCTTTTCCTATTGTCTGAGAAAAGGATCACAACTGATAATTTGTTATTCTAATTCGACTATTATCTTCCATAGTTATTAGAAGGCTTTACAAGGTGATGCATTAAATTTTTTATTTCCGTACTATATAGTTCGTTTAATGGATGATTCTATGTCACCTGGTAGATATGCAATCCTCCTGTTAGTGTGTACAAGGGATACTCCCTGCCTAAGGACGCTGAGGACTATCTTGTCTCACGGGGACTAAAGAATGCCTTGTACACTGTAAGAGCTGCTGATTTGAACGAGGATATATTTGGTACTCTTGTTCCTTGTCCCTTCCAGGTAAGAGAATTATTGCCTTTTATGTAATCATCCCCATCACATGTATGCTTCAAATTAGAAAATCGAGAAAAGTTTTCATTGATTGTGAATTGAAGAAATTGCTTTTCTGCATACCTGATATGAGCTTGAAGAAACTTCGTTGGTTCTTACTGTCGATCCTACTCATTTTAGGGAAATTTTGATCCATATTAAAATTTCCTTTAATGAATTGTCAAATATCTAATACGGCGGTTAATTGAGATGCTCATTAGGCATCACGTAGTGATGGAACTTATTCCTTTTTCATTTTTGGTCTGTTCTGGGGTAAATGTTAAACATAGAAGCCTTCAAACATGTTTAACTTTTTCCATTTTATATTACTTTTTCTTTTTGGTTTATCCTTAATCACAAATCCACAGAACCATTTTGCTTTACCTTTGAATAGCTAGGTGGCAGTCTTCTATTGTAATATCCAGCAGATTCGTGTTTCTTTGATAAAAGTTCATGTTTGTTCTGTTGCTGATTCACTTTAGAAGCTTGAGATTCATTATTCTCGAGAATGAAAATTGATGTTCATGTATCCTTAGGATCCAGCTTCTTTGGAGGCAGGCACATCAAGCAATGCCGCATCTAAAAAGAGATCTTTGGGTGTGCTTGGACAAGAAAACGTGGTGAGTTCTGCAATTTTAGGAACTGCAACTTGCTTATCTATAAAGCAATGTTATGTGGATTTTGTATAAAGCTGTATCCCTCCAAAGTTGGTTTTCATCTTTAATCCCTTAAGTAATTGCATCACCATTATCAAATTTGAATTTGAATTATGATGTGATATCCTTATTATACCTCTCTACCTTGTATTCTTCCAACAGTAAATGTAACAGTTTTAGATTTGAGTGCAGAGAGTTCGTGCTTAGCATGGAACCATATAATATATTACCTTTGGATATATAGATATATTATCAAAATACATTTTTAATTATATACAAATACGCTTTAGTTAAACGTGATAATAAGTTTTTGATATTGATCTGTGTAACTTCTTAAATAGTCCGAATGCTTGGTTATAAAATGCTGTGACAGTTTTGGGATTTTCAGCCTCATCAAGTGTTACTAGTACCTGCATAGTCAGCCGATGTTGATATTGTTGGCATGGCTTTTGCAATATATTTTGCTTAGCTATGTGGGTTATGTGACAAAGCCTGATTTTCCTCACTCCACTTTGTGCTGTCACTAGATGTTTGGGTGATTTATTTGCTAAAATAATCTGATTAAAAAGATGACTTTGTTGATTATTGGATGATGTCTCATTTTTATTTTCGTACAGAAAATGTTTTGGATCTAAATCTGTAAATCCTTTTTAGCCTTTTTTCCCTTTGCATTTCCGTGTCAGGTTTTCTTCAATGAAGCAACTTTATACCATACTTAAGTTGCCGCTATCTAAATTCCTGTCTCCCTTATTGTGTAATCGTAATATATTTGATATATATCTTATACTGCTTAGGAGGAAGGAATTGGTGTGACATTCCTCTCTGAAGACCCATTGAAAAAACAAGTGAAGTTAGATCATTCTGCTTTGGCTCAAGTACCATCATCTGAATTGGTGAGTAGAAACAATGTACATGCTTGTAGCTGCTAAATAATGTTTACTTGATGAACCTTTATTTCAATCAGTTACTGCTGCACCTTCACCACAGGCGATGTTGTCATGTCACCTTGAGTACTTTAAGTGTAAAGTTACTATTAAATAATAATAAATTATAGCAGTAGGATTAAGTTGTTCGAAGCTCAATATTTCTTAAATAATATTGATTGTTCGAATCTTACGGAAGCAAAAAAAATCACGGTAGGAGAGCTTGCTTGTTTGAGTCTAACATCACTTGAATCCGATTATTGGATGTAACAATAAATTATTAAAAATTTAAATTATCGTCACATGAAACATATTTGATTAATATATTCCTATATATATTAAATATTTTTATTTCTAAAACTCATGAAATTTTTGTTGGTGGAAAACACATATAGTTCTTGGCCCTAGAGAAAGAAATAATAAAACAATGCAAAAATAAGTAATATGTCTGTGAAATTTCTAAAATGATGAATATTTTGAAAAATCAACAAAACCCCATACTAATTCATTTTTGAAAGAAACGAATTAATCTAATACTTGCAAATTTTACATGCTTTCGTTTAAAATTAGTATGAGGCGTATATAATATTAGACGAAGTCGAACAAATCATAGTGAAGCACTATTTATTGTTTTTTACTAATGCAACGTATTATAATTTTTTATTATATTTAGATTAGATATCAAATTAGATAAAGAAAATATGTTATATTGCTCGTTACTTATAATTAAATAGCACGGCTTTATTGATATTGAGTTCATGCATCCGAAATATGACAAGTTCAGGGAGAACTTTTTTCGGTATAATGGCTCCACGATGTTAAAGTAATTGGTTACCTCCCATTTTACTTCGCTCAAAAATGTGTTTGTATTGTGATTTCATGTGGGTGCTTTTCACCCAATACACTTGAAAGGGAACTTGTATTCTGATTTCATGTGGGTGCTTTTTCACACAATACACTTGAAAGGAAACTTGTCGCACTTTAGTTTTTGAGTTTTAATCAAAATTGCCTAAAGAGGAAATTCATGCATGCTTTTTCTTGCCCAATGTGCTATAAGATATGTTAATGGGATTTTTTTAATTTCATGCTGACAAGTCAAAGATGAAGCATTACTGCACAAACACAAACATAAGACCCTTTTTATAGTATAAATTACATTACAAAATAGGTTTTATATTTAGAACCAAAAGAGTAATTCTCCCATTGTACTACAAAAATATTATTTATTCTTTCACTGTCAAATGTGATATAAATTTTGTCTTATATCAGGTCATGCTTGGGCCGGGGAATTTTTCTATGGCTTCAAACGCTTCCTCTTTCCAAACATATTGCCACCAAAATGATATATATTGACTATAATAAGAATTAGGATAGTTGACTATTATGTGTTGATAGGTAAGATGTATTAAGACGAAATATTTGTACGAGTAGTAATAAGCATAGACTTTTTGACCCAAAAAAAATAATATGCATAGACTAATATTGAAATAGTAAGAGATCATAGTAAGTTGTATGCCTTTTTTTTTTTAGCCGGGAGAAATAGCCAATACGGTGAGGAATGCTTTGCAGTAACAGTGGAGTCGTAAATTTCAGAAAGCGAACCCATAATGCTGCACAGAGGTGAATGCTTGCAAATGGAGACAGGAGATTAAATTTTTTGCTTTTTGTTCATGTTAATCTTCAAGTAGGACGATGCACAAATGTGTTGTGTATTATGTAATTATTAATATTAATTGCATTAGTTTGAAATATTAAGATGTTATGGAAAATGGGGCAATTAATTTATTCTATCAATTATCCCTCAGCCTGAACCATCATTTAGTCCAAATGTAATAAGTGGTCACATGAGAAGGTTAGGCGCAGAGGAGTTCATTGGGAGCTTCAGAATGGTCATGGGTCAAAAATAAGCCGACATGGAAGAGCAACCATTAGTGTACGTATGAACAAACTACCAATATTAATTCGTGCAATCCACTGGGAACTCATAACGCAATCTGGTTAAAGGTACCTCATATTTTGTCATCATGTGAGCATAGGACAAATCTTAGCAGGGAAAATGGCAACACATGCAGGCTTTACTACAAAAGACGTCAAACAGTCAATGTGGTTCAGGTCAGATATTTTTTGTTTAAGGTGAGTAACCCTCTCCATATGATGATTTTAATATCTTCTGCCAAAAGAATTAACCATACCCGACGAGCCTGAAGATAGACCTTCTCCAGATTCTTTCCTGTCCTAGGTATAAAACCAACACCTCTCCGATAAGGTCACAAGCCCCAGAGTGCACAAAGTCGTTAGTGTTTCATCGTTTCCATTGGCCAAGCACCACCCCCCCCCCCCCCAAAAAAAGTTATCAGAATTGGCGCACGTACCTTTCCCTGATCCCCTCATCCCCTCAAAAAAGCGTTGACCCTCGGCTAATGCCTCTTCCCTCTAATAAATGATTCGCCTTTTTCAAAGTAGTCGTGTGGCCTTTTCTTTAACTTTTGCAATTGATGAATTGAAAATTCCCTCCATATGCATATCCACGCTTAAGTGGAGAGAATGATAAATGTTTACCTTCTTTACCTTCTTCTTTGTTTAATTGCAAATTTTCTTGTTTTACTGGAGTGGCATAAATATGGTATTGCAAAGAAGCAGTTAGCTAATCATTTGATTGTCATTGGCCCTTTTACTCATGTATATGTACTATCTCATATCCTTAATATAAGAACTAATTGATTAATTTGAGTAAATAAAGAAAATTAGTTAAGTTAGTTATTTGCAATAAATAAGAGTTGTGTTTTTTAAAATATCCTTACTAATCAAATATATTTGTTAGAACTAGCATTATTACAAGGACTATCTTTTAAAAAAAAAAAGAATAAATATAAGAGATAAAGTGGATTAGGGTCTTATATTGAGGACCAAAATAAAAGTGAAATGAGCTTTTATATTAAGGACTAGAGGTAGTATTTGTCAATTTTGCCAACATTTAAATGTTATCTATAGTCACAGTACCAGTTTGCATGTAATTTTTGTATCCACAAAAAAAAAAGTACACATGTAATTTTCCAATTAATATGATTTTAGATTCATTCTCATTAATTATTTAGGTAATGATTTTTATGTGAGTAGTGACTTTGAGGACTTTTTAAAATAATGATTTATAAATTTGGTCCTTCAATATACAATTCTCCCCCATGTTTGGTAAATTTTCAGTTGCAGGATTGTGCTAACTAAGCTCAGCCCCTTTTCTTCTGTTTGGATCCTTGTGTGTGTGTGTGTGTGTGTGTATATATATAAAACAAAAAAAACAAGTTTCAATTATAGAACTCAACATATAAACTCAAAATAAATAAAATTACTGTGAAGGTTAACAGCGGATGCTTACTTTCACTCGTCTAGCTGTTTAAAAAACTAATATTAATGGTTAGAAAAATAAATATTAACCCTTAGCATTTTTTAACGGTCATGGGCGACATTACTCCTTTTTCTATACTTGGACATCGCTCCTTTTTGAACACGTTCTGAATAATATTGATACAAATTTTTTTTCAAATACTCGTAACTCCTATCTGAAAATTTCCCGTGTGAAATTAGACCTTAACCCTTAAATATCTAATATTGAAAATAGATCCAAAAACTGACACTTCTTTAATATACATAAAGTGGGAGGCACCACCAAATTTTTCTATAATTCATTCAATAATGTTATTTCTTTTTTTTTTTGGCCAAAAATTCAATAATGTTATTCGAAGCTTCTTAAAATATACTTTATTAAAACAGAGTATTAATTATATAAAAAAATAATAAATCGCGTGCCATTGAAACTTTGCTCATTTAAAGTAATTAAAATTTTTAATATGATTTAACTTCAACTTTGGTGAGATCTGTGTCATTTGGTTGTAAAACCCCCCTTCAAAAGACAGCTCCCATTGACACTGTTACTAAAAGTAGGGGTGAGTAAAACTGAACCGTAACTAAAAACCGAACTAAAACGAATTCAATTTCGGTTTTTGAGTTCGATTATTTCGGTTTTTAGTTACATATTCGGTTTTTATTTTTCTAATAATTCGGTTTTGGTGTTCGGTTTGATTAGTAGAAAAAAATTTCGGTTATAATGAAAAACCAAAATAAATATATTATATATTTATATTTAATAAATATTATCATAATAAATATATATGTGGGTTGATGTGAACGCTCTAAATATATTTATATTCAATAAATATTATTATAATAAATCACATTGAATGATGAAATATTTATTAATTAATGGTTGTGATTGTGTTTTATTATTATTAATAATTTAAAATCACTTTCATATTTATATATTTCGGTTAATCGGTTAACCAAACCAAAATATTTCAGTTAATTTAGTTTCGATTACTTTGATTAATCAGTTTCGATTCGGTATTTAAAATTTGTTCTATTCGATTAATTTGGTTATCACTGATAACCGAACCGAAAAACCTAATGCTCAGCCTAAAAGAATCACAAGGAACCTTGCAAAGATCCCATTTCTTCTCTGTTCTTTTTTTAAAAATAAAATTATTAATCTCATTCTTTATCTTTCTTCCTCACCAAGACATCAGTACGCCGTTTTGAGAAAAAAGAAAGAAGAACGACTTCGAAGAAAACAGGAACGCAAACGTAGCACGAGGTTGGGAGAGGGTTTGCCAATCGTCTTTTACTCCACAATCCGTGTTCATTTCTTGCCCCATTCTTTTTCCCTGGCTTCATTGACACTCAGGATGGACGACAGGTAAGAAAGCTAGCTTCCTTCTCTGGCTTTGCTTTTCTCTCATTCTCTGTCTCCCTCCTTCAAAACCAAAATTTCCGCTAAGAAACCTAGATTGTCATGTATTTTCTTATTGATTTGCTTATATATGTATGACACCTCAAATGGATAGGGTAATTATGCTTGGCTACTTCGACGTTAATGTGGAAAGCATCAGGCTAGAGAGTACCGCATCCAAAGGCTTGCTAACAAAGGCGATTCT